ATTTGTTGCCTCTAGGAAAACCGTCGTCGTCTTTTGGAACTATCATTTCATTATGCTGCCAGTACGCTACTATGATTTATTCATGACAAGTTCATCGTTTGAGCTGAGCTCAATAAGCTCTACATGACTCTCTAAGGTTCTTTTGTATGACGGAGATCAAGATTTCATCTGTAACTGGATTGGCTACGAGCACGTGGCGGATGCGATGGAGTGGCCGGGCCGTCAGTCTTTCACCAACGCTCCCCGCTATGAGTATGAGGTGAGTTCATTGCCGAACCAACGTTCCGGTATGCACTCCGATTCGTTCGACTCCCCGGACCTTGGTTGATGGCGGCATTTCCCCTCAGGATGATAGCGGAATCTCGATTGGTAAATTCCGCAGTGCCACCTATCAGGAGAGCGGGATGTTCAGCTTCTTCCAAGTAAGATGCTGAATATTCTGTATAACATCAAGTTACCAACTTTTGTAGGTGTATCGAGCTGGTCATTTTGTGCCCACCGACCAACCCGAGGCTGCCCTGCTCATGATCAACGATTTCATCCACGGTATTTTCGGACCAGATTCTCCAAGAGCCACACCAGTCGGAGCTCTAGGCGGTTCGTGAACTCTAAGAGCCGTCTCGCACACTTTTCTTTCTGCGAGTCTCTTGGATGCGTATCGAGCGAATCTTCTGAAATAACTTATTCGATTGGTATTGTGACCTCGCCCCTCACGAATTCTTTCAAGTATTTTCATTATGGCTCGAAATCGTGGATACTCTCAAACTGATGGAGTCCGCGAAGCCATGTCTTATGACTTCTCTGAAAAGCCTCTCGGCTCCCACCCTCCTACACCCTCCTAAAAAGAAGTTATTGTCCGAAATCTCCTACGTGTTGAGTTTTTGAGATTATCTCAATGAGATATCACCCAGCGCCCAAGGAGACGCGCAGCGCGAGACTCGTCGGCAACATAGTGTTGCCAACACTACCTTCTATATTCGTAGTGATCTTGTGAATGAGGTAAAATAGGTGGAATAACTCTGCATTTTACTCAACATGATAGTTTCATGATGGTACTACCATTATCCAATTTGTATCAACATCGGCTCAAGGTTACATGGCATAACCAAAGGATCAGGGGAATTCGACAATCATGTTCTTCTGAAGAACTCCCTCATATATGTTCGCTGTAGGTCCTACAGCGTAGGATAGCGTGGGGCTGTCTTTCAAATGCAGTTTGACACATGCCCTTCCGACTCCTCGGACTTCAACCGACACCTGGGGATACCTACTGTGTGAGGACCTCCTTCTGTGTTGGTATTGTCTCTGTGTAGTAGCTGCGTAGCCCAGCGCTGAGACTATCTAAGTCCGCTAAGTCCGTCTATGACTATTTGAAAGTAAGAAGGTCATATCTTCCGCATCATTGGTTATTATTCTCTGTGATGTTGGTGGTGCATATTTGTGCATACTGCTGAGTTGCTGGGTTCACACTGTGAACGAACTTCACACTTCTTTCTATTGATTGGGTATGAACACTGGTAATCTACCAGTGGTAAAGTATATTGCGTGACTATCGATGGTTAGCGGTATTGGCCCAATTGTCGAGTTGGGCAATGTCGAGCTGAAGTGTCAAACTTGGATGCGTATTGTCAAACTTGTGTGCGTATTGTCAAACTTGTTCGGTTTATTGCCATTCTATGAAGGTCCAGGCTTGCATGGGGCAAATTCAAGCAAGCGTAACGAGTATCGCTCGTGCGTGCGTGGCGCACGCCGTTGTGATCGACCCGAACTACAAACTTTGTGGCACAAAGT